GCTTCAGGCCCTGTGCCACAGGAGAGGGGAGGCGCAAGCCCTATTCTGGCCACCCAGACCTGATTTGTCTTCTTTCTTTAGCCTGGAGCCTGCCAGGCCAACGAGACCATCATTTGTGAGCTGGGGAACCCCTTCAAACGGAACCAGAGGGTGAGTGCCAACCACACCCTCCCAGCCCTGTGGGTCGCAGGCTGCGCATCTGATGCATTCCTTATCCTTGCTTCTGCCTTTCTGCTTCCCAGGCTTCCTTGAAGCAAGGAGCCAGAGAAGGGGAGGGGGAGAAACCCAGAGACTGTGGAAGTGGGGCCACTAGGGAGCTATGCATACAGCTAGAGCAGATGGAGGTGAAGAAACCAGTTTTGCTGAGTACCTACTACGTGCCAGGTCCTGAGCCCAATATTGTGCTTCTTTTATATGATATAATTCTCACAATCTTCTGAGGAGACACATGCTGTTTAACAGAAAGGAAGCACAGGCTTAGAAAATTTCAGTGATTGCTCAAGGTCGTATAGCTCAGAAGTATCAGAGATGTCACTAACAGGAAAGAAGGGGAAAAGGGAAATAGATGGGGCAGGGACGGTGGAAGAATGGAGACATACGGGAGGTGGAGACCTCGTCCAGAATGGGAGGAGGAGGCTGGAGAAACAACTTCCTAGCATGGTAGTATCCCCTCTCTTCCCCTTGGTTTCATCCCTGCCTGGCCCCAAACACCCCTCTCTGCCTCCCTGACCCTCATGGCAGATGGAGCTGCTCATCGCCTTCGAGGTCATCGGGGTGACCCTGCACACGAGGGAACTCCAGGCACAACTGCAGCTCTCCACGTGAGTGACCTCGAGAAGCCAGTCTGTATGGGGGTTGAGGGGTCCTGAGGCCCTCCCCCAACCCCAGCCTCAACTGAAACATCTTCTCCCCTACCCTCTGCATTCCTTCCCCAGCTCAAGTCATCAGGACGACCTGCGGCCCATGACCCTGACTCTGCTGGTAGACTACACACTCCAGGCCTCGCTCAGCATGTGGGTACCAGTCCCCCAACAGCCTGCTAGACTAAGCTAGGGCTTCCCTGTCCCCTAAGGTGTCTCTCTAGCTCCTCTGACACACCTCTCTTGGCCTGGTATCTCAGGCTAAGACGTAACAACATCACTATCATTATTGTTACTATTATTATTATTATTGCAAAGCAGGTAGCAGTGGAGGGATCAGCAACCCTGGGGCTAAGGTGTTGGTGTGGCCCGATAATTACATGGGAGCTCATCGTGCTAAGGGTCTTATCTACTTCATCTCATTGACTTCTCACAACAGCCCCATGATACAGTGACCCCACTTAACAGATTAACTCCACTTTACAGATGGAGAAACTAAGGCTCAGGAAAGATAAATAACTTGCTTGAGGTCATACAGCTAGTAAATGCTAGAGCTGGGGTTTATCTCAGGTCTGCCTAATGTCAGAGGAGCTGCAGTTAACCTTGGTGCCCACCTTCCCCTGCCAGGGCTCCTCCTGTCCCCTTTGACTCCTGCATCTTTCTTACCCCTAGGGTGAGTCACCGGCTACAAAGCTTCTTTGGGGGCACAGTGATGGGCGAGTCTGGCATGAAAACCGTGGAGGATGTGGGAAGCCCTCTCAAGTACGAGTTCCAGGTACCAGTGGTGGGTCCAGGGTCTGAGGGCGTGAGGGTTGGGGTTGGTGAGATGCAGGTGGTTTTCCAGGAGACAGTGGCCATGACCGACCCCAATGTGTACCCACAGGTGGGTCCAATGGGGGAAGGTCTGGCAGCCCTTGGGACCCTGGTCCTGGGGCTGGAGTGGCCGTACGAAGTCATCAATGGCAAGTGGCTGCTGTACCCTACGGAGATCACCGTCCGCAGCAATGAGTCCTGGCCCTGCCAGCCACCTGGAGACCTTGTCAACCCTCTCAACCTCACTCTCTCGGTAAGGACACCATGGGATCTTTCACTCCCAACTCACTTCACTTGCATGCCTCAGGGCACAAAGGCCAGCATCTTTCTCCTCCTCCGCTCTGGGGGCTGCCTCTCCCCTTGCCCTTTCCTCTCCTCACTTCTGTTCTCACTCCTTCCTCCACCAAATCGCCTCTTCCCTCTAGGTTCCTGGGGACAGGCCACCATCCCCACAGCGCAGGCGGCGACAACTGGACCCCGGGGGAGGCCAGGGCCCCCCGCCTGTCACTCTGGCTGCTGCCAAAAAAGCCAAGTCTGAGATCCAGCTGGTGAGTAGCCAGGGCAGAGTTGGAGAGGCTTGTGACCCCCCTGTCACAGGGCGTGTGGGCACCTGGGGGCACACGAAGCAAGGGAGAGAGGTGCTACTCACCAAGAGACCCTGGTCTGATGAGGGAATGCGGCCTCTGCCTTCAGGAGCAGAGCCCCTAGTCAGTGGGGAGACACTCATCTCCTACCCTCAGAGGGACCCCACTGCCCTTGCCTTCTGTTGGGGAGCAGCCAATACAGTGGGCCAAAGGAAGAGACACTGGTTTTATTCCCAGGAGCCCCGGCCTGTTGGGAATGATGTAGCTGCTCAAAGCCCTGGACCTTAGGGCTGGGGAATGAGAAGGAGTAAGATGAAGGGTGGGCAGGAAGTCCTGGGTGGTGCAGGGCACCCTCTGTTGGAAGGGAGAGGAACGGGCCTGGGTAGCAAGTTGAGGCCTATCTGGATGGAGGGGTAGGAGTGGCATCCCAAGAGGAGGGAACTGGGGTGAACAAAAGGGGTTGGAAAAGGAGTGTCTGGGATTGGGCCCCGTTTCCATGAGCAGGGATCAGGTTTCCTGTTCTCCATGCCCCTGGCATCTAGATATGCTCGGCTCTTAAATGTGTAAGAGCAGGGTTGGCAGGGAGTCTGCATGAGTAAAGGGATGAGGTCAGGCTCCTTCAGATCAGCCATGGGTGGGACAAAGCCAGGGGCCAAGCGGGGAGAATCTGGAGACCCAGCCTGTCTCATGTCCTGTGTGCCCTGCCCACCTCAGAGCTGTGGCAGTGATCGCACCCGCTGTGTGTGGCTGGAGTGCCCCATTCCTGATGCCCCCATCATCACCAACGTGACAATACAAGCACGAGTGTGGAACAGCACCTTCATCGAGGTCAGTGCCGGGGTCTGGAGGTCTCCACTGCCACCCACCCGAGTGGGGAGAGCAACAGGGAGAGGGTGAGGCCACAGTGCACGTGTGTGCCCGAGTGTGTCAGTGACAGCACTGAGATTTATGCATGATAGGTTGCATGCCGGTTCTCCTGTGCTGTGCCAGTGTGAAATTGTGTGCGCACATGACATCATTTTGGCTCTGGCCAAGATGACCTTCTCTCGTGTGTTCATTGTTCTTTTGTGTGACCATTACTTTTGCACCTCCCTGCCTTAGCTAATGCTGTTCCTTTCCCCTGGGTGCCAGTTCCTATCTGTTATCTCTGCATGTCAACCCCTGCTCATCCTCCAAGATCTCTCAGATACTTCACCACCAGCAAGGTCTTTTCTGACTTTTCTAGCTGAAAATGACCTCTGCCCCTCTGGACACCCCCAGAACTTTCTCAGAAGCCATGCATGGCGCTTACCACGCTCTACTCTGGGTTGCAGTTCCAGCCTTTTCATGACATCTAGACCAAACCTTTTCTATAACTGACCTGATTATGCATCTTTTCAGCTTTGTGGGCCAGGCAGTTTCAGTTGTAGCTACTCAATTTTGCGACTTAGCACAAAGCTGCCACAGACAATACGTGGATGAATGGGTGTGTCTGGGTGCCAGAAATACTTTATATACAAATCCAGGTGATGGGCCAGATTTAGCCCAAAGATGGGACCTAGACTGTGTGACCTTCATTGTCTCTGTTGTCCCAGCATCCTGCACAGGACGTGATGCACAGATGAATGAATGATGCGTGTATGTGTATGGAGGAGAGACCTGGTGTCAGGTCCTCTGGGGTGCTGCTTAAGGATGCTGTGCAGCAGGAGGGTGTCCCGGGGTGGAGGGCTGCTTAGGACCAGCAGGGAGGCTCAAAGGGGTTTAGCTGCTTTTTTTGACTCATTCTTTTCCCCTTCCAGGATTACAGAGACTTTGACCGAGTTAGGGTAGCCAGCTGGGCCACCCTGTTTCTCCGAACCAGCATCCCCACCATCAACATGGAGAACAAGACAGTGCGGGTGAGTGAGCGTGTTAAAGAGACCGCAGTGCCTGCCTGGCTAGGGCGTGGGGGCGCAGGGCATCTTCTCAGAGCACTTTCACACACTTTAGCTATGTGGTTCTCAATCTTGGCAGCACATTGGAATCCTCTGGAGGACTTCCGGTGTCTGGACTGCACCACTGAGCAATGAAATCTGAGTCTGTGGAGGTGGGACCCAGTATTGGTATGTTTGAAAGTACTCCCCAGTGATTCTACTGTGCAGCCAGGGTTCAGAACCTCTGCTGGAGCTCATTTGATCCACACAGCATCTCTGTGAATATGTTCCGTCTCTGTGGAAACTCGAAAAAAAAGTTCCCAAACTTGGGGGAGCGTAGAGCTCAAGTGGTACAGCACATGATTAGCATGCACGAGGTCCTGGGTTCAATCCCAGCACCTCTTCTCAAAATAAAGAAATGAATAAACCTAATTACCTCCTCCCTCAAAAAAACAAAAATAAAAAGTTCCCAAACTTGATCCTGAGTTACATTGGGAAGAATAAATATGACAAAATTGCTAATAATATGCTGCGAAAAAGACAGAAGTGGAGATATGTAGGAGATTTGTATAGGAGGTGAAAGAAGAAAGCTCGCTACATTATGGTACATTTCCTAAAATAAATTAAGGTAGTGGAGGAAGGGCCAGAAAGATCAATGGAACAAATACAAATCTATTTTATCATACAGACGGCATTTTTAATCAGTAGAAAAGGGTAGATGATTAAGTAGTATTGGGAGAACACATTTGGAAAGAAGAAAGAAAGCCCTGCCTCACACCATAAACAAAAACACATTTGAGTTAGATTAAATATTTAAATACAGGAAATAAAATCTAATATACCAGAAGAAAATTCAGAAAATAATTTACTGATGATCTTTAATTGTGCAGAGAGGGAGTTCTTTTATTAAACCCAGAAGTCACAAAGGAAAAATTGGACAAATTAGACAATATGAAATTTTAAATCTGTAAACAGCAAAACAGTAAAAAAACTAAAAAGGCAAATGATATATTGCTCTTTGAAAAGTTTATAGCATTTATGACAAAGTGTTGATAGATATATTTTTAAAATGTAAAGATAAAGGGCAGCATAAAGACAAACAGGCAGTGCACATAGGGTGAAAGACAAGTGTTCAACTCAATAGTAAAGAAATAAAAATAGCAGTAGTAAAATCTTTTTCCTATCAGATTAGAAAAATATTAAAAAGAATAGTGCTGTCTGGTGCTGATGAGGAAGAAAGAAATGCTGTTGATTGGAGTATAAGTTGATGGATTATTTTTGGAGATGAATTTGTCAATATCTATTAAATTTTAAAATGCACATTTCCTTTCATCCAGCATGATAGTATATCTTAAGGAGCTAATAGGACAAGTATGCGAACATAAATAAATGGGGATATTTTAAAGCATTGTTTATAATGGCATAAAATTGGAAACGATCTTAATGTCTTTCAGTAGGAGATTGGTTCAATAAATTATGGTACATTTCCTCCAGTGACTATGCAGTCATCAGAAGAGTTAGGTTGATCTTTATTAATTGACATTGAAAGATGATGAAAAAGGTCACAGACGAGTGTGTATAGTACACACGGATCCCATTTATGTGGAAGAAAAAAATATATGTTTAACATACGCATTTAAAAATACAGAAAGAGATTCAATGAAATGCTGAAGATAGCTATTTCTACAGAATAAAATTACTGGGAACCTTCAATTTTCTTTATATCACCTATATTTTTAAAAATAATCAAAATAACTTTTAAAGAAGTGATAGTCATGTATAGTCAGAAAAATACTTTTCTATATATAAATATATATGTAAAATATAATATGTAATAATTTCATATTATTACATATATTTATATTATAAAATTATATGTAATATGTTACAATAATATGTATTATATATATATATCTTCATTGTAGGGAAAGAAAAAATGGTACTATATACTATGCATTTTTCTGTGTTTTGTTAAATATTTATGGAGTGCTTGCTGGGTATCAGGTATTGCTCAAAATATTTTACTCATATTAAATGCATTTAATCCTACCCAGCAACCTATGAGGTAGGTATTATTATCATAATCCCAATTTTACAGATGAACAACAGAGAGGTTAAGTGACTTGCCCAAGGTCACAGAGCAAGTGAATAGCACAGCAAGTGAATAGCACAGCTAGGACTTGAACCCAGGTAGTCTGGCTCCAGAACCCATACTTTTGGCCACTCTACTATACTATGAGGTAGGCATTATGATCCCCTTAGAGAGCATGAAATGGAGATTCAGAGACGTGAAATTACTTGTCCAAGGTCCCACAGCTCATGAGAAATGGAGCTGGTACCCTAGCCCAGATGTGTGGGTCACAAACTCAGACTCCAGGCTGCCTCCCAGATCTGAGGCTGCTCCTGTGGAGTCAGCTCTGCACCCGGGAAAAACCAGGGAATGGAGGAATTTGCTGCTGTCAGTGGGCGAGCAGGGGCTTTTTCCAGTCCCTGAGTGACCCCTACTGGCAGTAGGTCAAACAGCAGGGTCCTGGGCCTAGCTGGAACAGAAGGATAAGTGAGCATGGTGCTAAGGGGCCCCTTCTCACCTCCTCCAGTTCTCAGTGGACATTGACTCTGACCTGGTGGAGGAGCTGCCAGCCGAGATCGAGCTGTGGCTGGTGCTTGTGGCTGTGAGTGCCGGGCTGCTGCTGCTGGGGCTGATCATCCTCTTGCTGTGGAAGGTTAGGACACCCAGCCCCGCACTGGGCCTCCCCCTCCAGGACTTCCTGCCAGCAGACCCTCACCGGCTCCCCCTTCATCTCATTCCTCACTTCCATCTTGTCCCACCCTTCCCCCACGTCCTCCCTACCTTCTCCCCGGCTTCCAGTCTCACCCCCTGCCCCATCCTTACCATACCCACTGGGATGCTTGTGCCTGGGTTAATGGGGGGACCTGCAAGCCAGAAAGGGGAACCAGGAGCTCTGGTTCCTGCCACGCCACCAAGCTGGGGCTGGGACCCACGTATCCAGGCTCCCTGGCCCTAAGCCCTAGTCCATGAGTGCTGCTGGCAAGGACCACCCCCAGCTCCCCCTGATGGCCCCTCCCTACCTCCCCCCCTCCGCAGTGCGGCTTCTTCAAGCGAGCCCGCACTCGCGCTCTGTATGAAGCTAAGAGGCAGAAGGCGGAGATGAAGAGCCAGCCGTCAGAGACGGAGAGGCTGACCGACGACTACTGAGGGGGGCAGCCCCCCACCCCCGGCCCACCTGGGTAACGCGGCCTCTGGGACCCCCTCCCCAAGCCCCCAGCTGGCTGGGGCCTCTGATTCTGTCCTGTCTGCTCCTCTTCCTTTATGGGCCCTCTCTGCACCTCACTCTGTCCCCAGCACCACCCCAGAGAGCAGGCCACTCTGTCGGCCTCCCGTCCACACCCTGGGAGAGCTCAGGCTGTCTGCTCTCACCAGCCCTCCACTGAGCCCCTCAAGGACTTGAGACCCCGAGAGGGATCCATTAAAAAACCCTTTTCTGCCCCCCTCTGCGCTCTGGGGATTGGAACTGGGTTTGGGCCAATGCTAGGACCCACCTCTGTAGGTCACCACGCCAACTTGAGAGTGATTCTACAGGGAAGGAGGGGACTAGTAGAGACTGCACTTTTCCTCTTGTGAGCCACCCTCAGGGTGACAAAGTGACCCTCCCAACACTGTGGTAAGGGTAGACCACCACCCTCCTAGCTACTCCGGCAGCAATCTTGGCGACTGCCCCTCTGTCTCCATCTGCCTCTCCCTCTGCTCTCTGCCTTCCTCAACTCCTCCTTCCTCTGGGGCCTGGGGTGGGGAACCTCGTCCTCCCCGTCTCAGCACAGGGAGCTGGCGTTGTGTTTGGGTCCGGGGTCCTAGCTTGGCGGACCTCTGGGTGGGGAAGGAAGGGGCTGGGCATATCTTCCCGCTGGCTCAAAAGCTGGATGCTAATGGCCTTCGTCGTCTCCCCCACCTCCAGTGTGACTTTTTCAAGCGGACCCGCTATTACCGCATCATGCCCAAGTACCATGCCGTGCGGATCCGGGAGGAAGAGCGCTACCCACCTCCAGGGAGCACCCTGCCCACCAAGAAGCACTGGGTGACCAGCTGGCAGACTCGGGACCGATACTACTGACACCCTCCCTGATCCCACCCCCTGTTCCCCCTGTGTCCCTTTCTTCTATTTATCGTAAGTTATGCCCCGACAGCCCGCAGGAGCTGCTGCCTTTGGCCGGCACCAGCAGGCTCAGACACACACACCTGCTCAGGTGCACACATGTGCCGCCCAGTCATGGCCTTCTCCCTGAGGGAGGGCTGGGACCATGGACCTTGCATGGCTGAGCACCGCAGCCCTGTGCCCTGGACACATATGCACATGTGTGGGTCGCACTGCTTGTGGACTGTGTATGTGCACTCTGGATGGTGCGTGGACCTACATGTCCCAGCCTCTGCCAAAGGTGCCAAAACCAAGCCAAAGGGGCTCCACCAGAGCCAGGAGGAAAAGGCCCCCAATGTGGTGACACCTCCTCTGTTCACACTGGACCCATCATGAGCCATAGTCACTGAACTGACTCTGCCCTCGCATTGAAAACTACTGACAGGGAGCCAGGCCACCAGGACCCCGGCTGCAGCTCCCAGGACCCATGCCAGAGAGTGGGGCGCCTACCTGAGGTTGTCCCTGGGGCTGCTTGCAGGATCTGGCATGTGCAGACCCAAGAGCAGGATGAACTGGAAAGAAGGTCCCCAGGATGGCTTTCTTTCATGCATCACTGCGAAACCTCTGTCCTCAGCCTCAGCCGGTCCGAGCACTAGCAGGAAATGCAGCCATGAAGAAACAAAGATGGACATGCTGCTAGACAGCCTTGACACACTGCTGGGACTGCCCTGGGAGCATGTTGGAATCCTCAACAGAGGAGGAGACCGGTCCTGAGCCAAGGAGATGTTGGAAGGATACAGAGGAGAGACCACTTCTCATCCACATTAACCATCCCAGCCTCTGAAGGCCTGGAGCGACCCCCACAAGATCACAGAGGGAGCGACACTTGAATGTAGAGGAGGAACGGAGCCCTGTGCCTGCCCTATCAGCCAGATTCCACTCTGCCTCCAGTGACCACGGGCTGGGGACCGAGAAGTGGAGCTCTTGGCTGTCCTTGGCTTTCAGAGCCAACTTGGCTCTGCCTCCTCCCCTGTGACCCATTAGAAGTTGAGGCTGGTTCCAGAAAACCTCTCCTGACCCCTGCCTGTTGGCAGGCCCCCTCTCCAGCCTCTACCCCCTTCCACGGTACTGTAGCAGGGGAGTTCCCTCCCCTCCTTGTGCCTTCTTTGTATATAGGCTTCTCACGGCAACCAGTAAACAGCTCCCAGTTTGTACACACCGCAGCTGCCTCCATCCACCCCCACCTTTCCAGCCCCATTCAGTCTGATGGATCATGATATCTAGCTGACCCCCAGGTGGACAAAGCCAGGTGCAGGGGTCTTAGACACTGGGAGGGTGAAGTTCTGTGGAGGAGATACCTGCTTCTGTTCCCAGGGGTGCCCCTGTCTAAAGGGTGGTCATAGACACGTAACTGAGATCCAGAACATCAGAGGAGGGGAAAGATCTGAGTAGACTGGATGGAATCCAAAATGGCTTCTTGGTGGACAGTGCACTGTCTCTGGGGAAGGAGGAGGGCTTAGAGGTGGTGGTGTGAGGGTCTGGAAGAGGCAGGAAGTGTCTTTGCTATAGAAACCGGTAGTCCTGGGTAATGATGGAGGGAGGCTGGGTGCCTGGCTGGAGAGATGAGAGTCCTAGTCTGGAGGCTGAATTTAGATAAGAACCTGATTTACTGCCTTGGTTTCCCCATGACCACCCCTAGGCTCCATGATGAGTAGATCAGAAGGTGAACCAGTGACCCAAGACTGGGAAAACTGAAAGGTCATAGTATCCATTCCCCAGCCTCCGGGCAGGAGTACCTGGATCCCTAGTCTGCAGCTGTTCCTCCAGGAGTGCTCTGTACCCAGACCACAGCCACCATATCGGGTCCAGTTCTCCACTGCCTCCTCTGTGCCAAGGTTATCTCTGCCACACAGACCTTGGGGGTGGAGCGAGGCTGTTTCCCTATGACTTCTTTGTCCTAAATTGTGGTACATTTCTTCTGTTAATTGTTCCCAAGGCTGTGACCTTTGGCAAGACAGAAAGCTGGAAATTACTACCCAGAGAAGCCTGGAGACAGATCCTCGGGTCAGCTACTCAGAGCGCACAGACCCAGGCCGCTGTCCCGGGCCCCTCCTGAAGCTGCCTTCCGGTGGCAGCTGTCTGCCCTCCACCCTCTCTACCAGAACCCGCCTCCCGCTTTCTGTGCTGGTATTTGCCCCTTCCCAGGTTGACTGACAGTGAAATGTCCAGTTTCTCCAGAAAAAACCCCAGCCCCTACCCAGAGCTTCCAGAACCAGTCACTGGAAACTTCAGTTTGTTTTCCAGAATCTGAGTTATTCACTGGGTCAGGAATAACACACGTGTGGGTTGTCAAAGCAGAGCTCAGTCCATCTCAGTCCAGTCCTTTGCAACCACTTCCTGTGGCCGGCTTCCCAGGGGCCCAGCCCATCTCCTGTTGGATGAGAACTCACAGTCTGCTGTCTCTCTCTCTCTCTCTCT